GCAGGAGGGATGAATTTTCCATCTAGGCTTTGAATTGTTGCTCTAAATGAGGGGCTTTTTCTCTCTTTAAGTAAAGCGACGTCAGATTTCTTTTTATTTTTTAGTTTGTTTTTAACCTGCTGCATTTTGCTGCTTTATGACTACTGCAAATAACCGCTGTTTATTTTTCTTTGAATTCCCTTTCTGCATCATATGCGTATCACTTCCAGGGATGTTGGTCCAAAATGCCAGGGTCTCTGGCATGTGCTTCTTTTATTTTTAGAACAAAGAACGATGAAAGATTTGCTTTGTGGAGAAACTTTCAAGGAGGAATTACATGGACTTTGCAAACTGAGGTCATGAAAAACAATCATCATTAGAACACTATGAAAATATATCAGTCTTTTTTTTTTTTTTATGCACCCACCCATTCCCTCCTTCCCGTGATGCCTGTGTGTTGTCTGCTCAGTCACTATGGAGGCGGTTAACCATCCTGTTAAATATAGTCGTTCTCTTTGCAAAATGAACCGCTGTAGGTTTGTAGAAGTACAAAAGACCTTCCTTGCAACACCAGCGTACTAACCCCAGTGCGCACGTTTGCATGGTGCTGCACTTGGCTTCCCTTTGTTTCTGAAAATGCAGCACTGACTTATTCCTTGGCCCATTAGTTCCTTAACGTGTTGTCAGGGCAGCCTCTGTTGCTTATGTGCGGCCAGGATGCTCATACTCTGGCCTGTAACCCACATCATTTATTGCATGGTGAAGGACACAGGAGTAGAAATGACTATTTTATACTACAAAAGAAGGTTAAAAAAAGCGGGGGGGGGAGGGGAGGAAGGTAAGCAAGAGACAGCTGTGTGATCCCACAAATAATTTTAAAGACTTTGTAAAGCCTTTAGGTGTAAATCCTCATTGAAAATAGTGCAGCAGTGCATGAGGGGAGAATTAAATAAGGCTTCTTCATTGATAAGGTCTCTGATTCTCTTTTGTTGATGTTAGAGAGAGATCTGGGAACAGGAGAATAGAGTTTAATTCTTTCTTGTTTGTTGCATGTTAAAAATCAGCCGTTTCTAGCCGACTGGGAGAATGAGAAACAAAGGGGTGGCTGTAAAAGCGAAGGCGTTTGTTGTAGCGATGACTCTAAGGATCATTGTAAGACTGGATTTGACAGCAGGTTCATAGCAATTAGCTGATAAAGTTTGAACTGTATAAAATCTATTCGTTGAAAAGCCTTTATTATCCATTTTAAAATACAAGTGGAGAAATGGGTAGTATCTCAGGGACTCTGAGAATACCTTTGGAGGGGGTGGGACCTTTGTTACAGTCTGAAATTTCCATAACGTCCTTGGGGAATGTGCTCTGGTCATCCTCTTTGAGCAGCCTGAAACAGGATTGTCTCTTTGGCTCCACTGCTGTAGGTCTGGAGTAATAGTGTTAATACCTTTGGAATTACATTCAATAACTGAAATACGGATTGATCCGCTGTTCATAGCTCTGCAGGCATTAGTTTAACATGGCTATTGTGTAAAGTTACACGTGCATGGCACAAATGATGGCATCAAAGAGAGATACTTTAATAAGATCCTTGGAAGTTTGTGTTCAGAAGGAATGCATTATGTGATATAACCTGATTATAGCTATAGCAGCTTCATTAGGCTTGCAAACCCATCCTTTCAAGGAAATTCTTGAATTATTCGATATACTCTCTCAGTTGTCTGCATATGTCCATGTAATTCAGCACTTCACTATTGGCATTGCGTGTGCTTCCAGTCTCTGCACTAAACTGCAGAATATTATTTTGCAAATTTTGCTGACTTGCTGCCCAGATAATTCAGCTCTGGTAAGGTTGGGGTTTTAATGTATTTTGGGGTCTTACTTCGTAACATCCAAGGTTGAGGCAGCAATCCATAAGTAAACGTGTCGTTGTGTGTGTCTGCGTTGCAGAATCTTCGGCCTCAGGAAAGTCGGACCGTGTTCAGTGGCTCTGTCAGCATCCCATCGATCACAAAATCCCGCACAGAACCAGGACGATCAATGAGCGCAAGCAGCGGGTTAGCAGCACGTAAGCAAACGGAACTGTGTTGCTTTGGGGTTTATACACGAGTATTTTAGGGAAAGGGCTACCTGCAGTTGCTTCTAGCAATACTGCCGCTAGATGGGATTTTCTGAAGTGATGGCTGGCTGTATTCCTATTGAGGGCAAGCACAGTATTTAATCTTGCTTTCAGAGGAGCACATGAATAAGCAGCCAGCACATTTGAGAGTCTCACATGTGCAATCTGTCAAATTTTTTAAACTGATGTTAGAATTGAAGTTACATTCTTACCCTTGGGACTACTTTGCTGATGTTTGAGTGTTCTAAATCAGTGGCAAGTTGTTCCCAAGCTCCACGGTTATTAACTTCATTGCTGAACTCTGCAGAACTCTTGATGCTTCTTTTGCTGCTGGTGCAACAAGAAAGCTGGCTGCTGGTATGGAAGAGTTTCATTGCATTGGGAATACTTTTTCTAGTGCAGCCAGGCTGCCTTTGTGTGCCAGAGGCAACACAGTGACCTGTGCTGAGACCAGGCAAGAAACTAAATAATGAACCATGTGAAAACAGAGGCAAGACCGGCAAGCTGGTGTTCCAGCTCTTCTGGTGTTTTTTTTCCCCCTTCCTACAGCACACACCACTTTTGCTGTGCGTTGCCAATGGCTTGCAGAAAGCGTTTGTGTCTGCTTTAGTCCGTACCTGCTGATACAACCCACCTACTGCCTGGGACCGAGGCCTCTGGAACTAGGCTGCCACCCAGCAGTTTTTGCCAACTGCTGTCTTTATCGGGAATGTAGCGACTGTGTCTGTGCTGGGTAAAGTGTGCTAATGCTGATGCGCCAAGAGAGGGACCAGAGAATCCCTAGGAAAAACTGCAGCTGGTAGCAGACAAGATAAAAGCCCACGTAGCCTGTAAGCCATGAGCTGAACATCTTGGGACATACTGGAGGAAAGCAGAATTAACCAGAGAAACTGCTACCACATTTCTGGTGTCTTGGGCGAGCGTCTGTAATGCTGTTTAATTCCTCTGCACATTTTAGGATCGTCTGCACAAAACGGCAGTGCTTTGCGGAGGGAGTTCTCAGGAGGTAGCTATGGAGCAAAGCGTCAGCCTATGGCATCACCCTCAGATGGCTCCTTATCCTCTGGTGGCCTGGACCAAGGCAGCGATGCACCAACAAGGGACTATGAGCGAGAGGTGAGTGATGGGAGAAAGAGGAGAAAATTCAAGTGTGTCGGTAAAAAAGAGGAAGTTAAATTCTGTCACGGGTATGGCTACAAATTTTGGGAGTTGGATTTCCTGTATTTCAGGCTATCCTGACAACAGACTTGGGTCAAACTGTGTGAACTCTGGTCCTGGTATTTAACATGCAGAAAACTCTCTTTGTGCTCCTTACCTGGAGACACATGGGGAGTGAGGCTCCCAAAAATACTGTTCCAGTAGAGTAACAGCTTGATAGTGAAGTAGTGATGTTCCTTCTGCCCTTTATTTGCAAAGACTCTTAAGCTACTGTAGCAGCCATTTCACATTAGACATTTAGAGTGCCTGAAGTTGACAAGGTAATTTAAGAATTATCCTGTAATAATTTCATTTGGAGCAGAAACTGGATCTAATAATTTACATTCTGTGCAGAACAAGACTATCATTATAATAGAACTGCAGTCCTGCCCTGTGCTAAACTCAGCCCTTCCAAGCAAGAATGTTTTACGTGGGAGGGGTCACTCTGAAGTTGACAAGCAAAACTTCCCCAGCCTGTTTTCTTTTCAAGGAGTGAGAAGATTAAGAGATCATGCAGGCTGTTCATGGTACTGAATATATCCTTGCAGTTGAAGCTGGAAGGCAGCTGTTAGCCCAAACTCAAGCTCAGATATACTTGCGTTCTACTATACTCTGGAAGAGCCAGCTGGAATAGCTTGATTAGGATGCTTTGAATTAATACCCTGAAAGTGATATAGAAGAGGTAGCTGTGATGAAGCCCATACCGCAAATATTCTTCAATTTAGTGCAAGAGTATCTCAGATGATAATCTATGAAAAGGCAGGAGCTGTTGTAGCTTCAGAGGCATCATGTAGTTGCAAACTCTGCTGACCAGGAGGCCCATGGCAACATGCAGGCTGCAAGAATCTCACAGGTGCTGTGTTCTTACATCTGCTGAAAGCAGAGTGATCTGACCACATACTCTTAAGTGTCCCTGGACTAGGAAATTCTGAGCAAAAAAAATTCCTCAGTATTTTTGGACACAAGCAAAATACAGGGAGGCCTTTGAATCTAGTCACCTGTTGCTCAGACGCCCTCAGTCACTCTCAAACTTGCTCTCCTGTTCCTTACTGGTTGTGTTCCCTGTCTTTGCACTGCAGGACTCTGACTCTCCGAGACACTCTACTGCATCGAACAGCTCCAACCTCAGCAGCCCTCCCAGCCCAGTTTCTCCTCACAAGACCAAGAGCCTCTCCCTGGAGAGCTCTGACCACGTGAGTTGGGACTCATGAACTGCTTCAGCATTCAGATTTGACATCACAGCAGCTTGCTGTCCCCATGGCTGTCCCCTTCACTTGCTCCAGTTCTCACCTTCATCATCCTAACCCTCCCCATTCCCTGTCTGAAAGTGATCTGGGAGTGGGGTACCGAGGAAGGTAAAAGCTGGTCCCTTCAGCACTGTTCAGCACTGCCTCACCCTCCCTTCCCCAGATCTGACAGCAGCAGCAAATGAGCAAAGCTAGGGTGTTGGTGAATATCAGATGCTGTAGATTTGTATTAGTCTCGATTTCATTTTTGTGGTTACAGCTGCTTCATTTTTAAAGACATATTTATCCCACCCCCTTCCACTTCCCAAAAAGTAGCTTAAGTAGACCAGACGAGTATCAACAAGAGAAAATTCAGAGGGATTTTGTTTTCATACAATAGCTCATTGTACTGTACAAAAGTAGCACAGAGACCCCTTCCCCTGCACGGGGAACGATCAGTATGTCAGAGGCACATAAAAGCTTTCAGCCACCACGTTTGAATGTCAATCTGATTGTCGCCAGCAAATCCTTATTGATTAAAATGATGCATATTTTACTACAGTACAGAGTTTAAATAAATACGCAGATGTTAGAGTTAAAATACGTATGTATATATTCAAAGAAAAAAAAAAGCATTGTGTATGCAGCAGAAGATGGATGCTTATTTAAGAGAGCCTTTAATTTAAGATTTGTGTTGTCCCTGTTTTCATGCTCAGTAATATACAGACTCGGAGGCCTGGCCTAAAACCTTTCACAGGACAGATAGTCCTTCCGCGTAGCACTCACCGCACTGCCGGGAGACGTCCCTGCAGTGCTTTCACGATGTTTCTTTACTTCTGGCGGTAGCATAACTCAAGCTGTAATTCCTACTTTCATGTTAGTCACCATCCTTTGCAAAAATTACAATTGGAAAGCAGCCCCTGCCCCGACAACCGAGGGCACCAGCCTGCCAGGCGCCTGCCCTGGCTTCTTGTGTGCTAGCTGCGCAGCGGAGGAACCTGACGGCACGCTACGGTAGAGGTCCTTATTCAGCAAGGGAGTTCAATGCAGCAGGATTCAGCAGCAAAACTGTTTCCCTGGGTCAGCCTTTGACCAGGTTTAACTCGGAAGGGAGTGTGTTCCACATCTCCTTGACCATCCTGAACCAGAAAACTGTTACCGTTGTTACCAAATACTAGTTGCTCATCCACGTCAGCAAACGAGTGCCCTTAGCCCAAAGCTAGCTGTGGCTGGCTATACTGTCACTGTAGCAAGGAAGAACCTTGAAGACTGACCTCACACTGTTCACACTGTGGTAGTCAAAGATGCCTAGCCACCCACAACTGCCATGCTGGCAAGGTTGGCTTTCCTCTCCCTCCCTAGCCATGCTGTAGATTTGTGCAATTTGCCGTTGTTTCTATGTGCTCACCTGCTGTTTGGTTCCAATAGCAGGTCAGGTTGGAGGGCAGGAAGTATTGCGGTGGAAGACAGAGCCCACTGAAGTTGCAAAACTAAATAAAAAGCTGGTCATGCAGACGACAGAATAAAGTGAGAGACAGATGTGCAAATGGATGGTAAGAGGAAGATGTCTCTTCTCTTTAGTTAGCAAGGCAGATGTGTTTTTCATTTGGGAGTGTGTTCAAATGAACCTCTCAGTAGTATTGTTGCTGGCTTTATGCTATGACCATACGCAAACATATAAGGGCTTTTTGTATTTAGAATACTGGTGTTTGTGGGTTTCAGAAACTTGTTATGGCTCTTACTAAACCATTCCATATTCTTGCAGTCAGCAGTATAGAGTGTTTTACCCACGTAGGGACATTTGGAGTTTTCCAGTTTCTGTCTTCCCTGATAGAAGTTACCGGTAAGTTCAAACCATGTACAGTCATTTCCAGGTATGATCTAAGTGTGAAATAGAGAATGAGACACAGATCATCTAATCCATTTAATCATGCTGGGTCTCCTAGGTAAGATTTCTCTTCTACTCTGAATCAAGAGGCTTGAAGCTCATTCATTATTTTGGGACAGGAATTCAAGAAAATTTCTTTAAAGCCATCATATCAAAAGCCCAGCTCTCTCCTGTTCAGTTTTTTTCAGAGTAGCAAGCTGGTGTGTTGTTTGTTTTCACTTCAGAGCTACTACTTTTGCTAGCCTGGTATTTAATATTAAAAGCTTTAGCAGACAGCTAAACACTTAAAATTCATTCCCCCTGAAAAGTTTTCAGTCTTTCTGAGGCAGGGTGTTATTGGCATTATTAAAATTCCACATCAGCTTCTTTTTAAAGGCTGCATATTGCTTCAAGTATAGCCACTGCTTTTTCCCCACAACTCCCTCCTTTTGGTGAATCACGTCCGCACATTTTTCAGAGCCCTTGCAGACTAGTTTTGTATTTACTGTATGTTCTATTTAAACGTTAATCTTATTTTGACATTGAGAGAAGTGATTTAAGATAGAGGAGCCTGCATGACAGTCCCCTGAAAGAGGGTCACAGGATCTTTTTTGTGGATTTTTTTTTGCAGTTGAGCAAATGCTCTATCTGAAAATGGAACCCAAAGAGCCACAACACAGCACACAATTAAATCAAGTAAACCTCTGTGTTTACTCTGTTACAGTGCCTGCAAGCTATTGATATAAATAACTGATGCTTTCAGGCAGAGCGTAGGTCAGCTGTGTTACAGAACTCAGCTCCAGAGGACAAGAGCTCCACAGGCCTACAACATTTACACACCACAATTTCTAAGCCTTGGCAGTCTCCTTTAGGATTACTGTATTTAATCGTTACTTTGGTACTGTGCATTTTGATACGCATCTGTTTGAAAGAGAAACAGCAACTGTTCTCTCAGTTGAAAAGCAAATGACCACATCTCTTATTTGAAAAGTGAGGAATTGCCCTGGGACTTGTTTTACACATTTGGGGACCATTTGATTATACACTCAATTTTAAACCACACTCATTTTTTTTGTTGGTATGAACACTGAAAACGTATGCATACTAAAGCTGAGCTTTTTTAAAATACTCATTGGGCTAGGACAAGTAACTTGGTCATTTGAACTGTAAGACTTTTGACTGATATCTCAAAGACAGTTGTCTCTTAAGGTTTGATGTTTGCTACTTTGCACTGTAGCATTGCTTCACCTTCACAGTTAGAGGGCTGTATTTTGTCCAGGGAGCTTAAAATCTCCTGCTGAATTTTTGACTGTAGCATATGTTCTCTGTACACAGTATGTATCTAGCTGATTTTTTCCTTTTGGCTGAGACTGAAGGTGTTTGCATTTTTGACACTGCTTAAACATATGGGTTGGTGGGGGTTTTTTTGCATTTCTTTTTTAGCTTTTTGATGGCAATACAGGATCCAAACAGATTCAGGCAGCTACTAAGGATTCCAGGTTATAGAATGAAAAGGTTTGGTAAAAGGTTTGGTAAATAGTTTTCCCCCTGCACGCGTGCACGCACAGGTATGTGGCTTCCTTCCACATTTCATAAACTCAAAAACAGGGTTAGAGCACTTGCTTCTCTACTGCCTTTGGCCTGTAGAAGACAGCTGGTGGTTTCAAAATAAACATTCCTGAGGCTGTGGTGAAGTAGTTGCTTCTTTTCCTCTCAGTTAGTTGCTGTGGCTTGTTACGAATGTGCATTTTGCCCACTTTAACGAGTTTTACAACTCAGTCAGGAATGTTACCTCTTCAGTTTGATTCTGATAAAATTACAAGCCAGATGTGTTATTCTCAGGTATAGGGCAGAGGGAAGTTAAGGGTCTTGTCACACCAGAAAAGTCCAAAAAGCATAGTGTATTTAATAGAAATGTAGTTTTACTGTGTCTAGCTGTTTCACAGAGCATGTGTCGGCCTTTCAAAACAAAACAGTTGGAGTATTAACACAGGACAGGACAAACATGCTCTTGGGTAGAAGGGTTATTTTGGTTGAGTGGTTTTTGTTTGTTTTTTTTTTTTCCATTTTATATATGCTGTTTAATTTTAAATTAATGCATTAAGGGTAAAAATTATTGTAGTGCAAGTACCCACACCTCCTAAGCCTTAGTCTGAGAATCAAAGCTTCTGCTGTGGTTATTTTGTTTATAGGAGCCAGTTCCATGGAGGAAATGGGACAACTTTCTGCACTAACACAAACTGCGCCCTTCTGTGTGCTTTGTGTTCATGCTGTATTTGAAAAACACTCCCAGAAACTGCTCTGCTGCAGGCTTTCCAGTCTAAATTCCAACTATCTTTCATTCCGGCTGCAGCTCAGTACAACCTCTTTTCCTTCTGCATTTAAGAAAGTCTCATCCACAGGGAAGAAATCCACAAACAAACCAGTGTTGGTATTTCAGAGCAATTATACCTGCCTTTTTATGTATGACAGTTTCATATCATTTATTTTTAAAATGTTTTTTAGGTTTTTCATTGTAATATTATTGTACAGTTTTGCATGGCATAGATGTAATCACTTTTTTTGTTTTAGAGTATAAAAGCTGACAAGTGTGCGTGTGGGGGAAAGATTCTGCTTTTTGCCTCTTCTCACTATTTTGTTTAATGCCCTCAGTGTTGTAGGGGACATTGTAAGAGATTCTCTGCTACAGAACAATGATGTAGATTCTTTTGCACAGAAATATTTAAGGTGGAAAAGTCAACAATGTAAAAATGACTCACCACCACTATTTTATGTTGGTAACACACTTAATATTAACCTACTTTGATGTACTGCAATAAAACAGGGAACTGTTAGAAATGCAGATATTCTGTCTTTTTTTTCCTATCTCCCCACATTAAGCTTGGAGGAGGAAATGGAAAGGGAAATAAGAGCATTCCTGAAGATAAAATCAGTATGTTTGCAACACATCTGCACAAGTACAGTGAGAAGAAAAGGAATAGATTAGAAAAGTGATTTAGCTCTTAACAGCTTTCAGAAAAAAATTACCAGAACCTTTTTGAAAATTCAAAGTCAAGCCACCTTATACTTTGGTATATTGAACTTTATCAACTAAGTTTTGCTGACCTTTTTCTTGGGTCATCTGTTCTGTGTCAATAGTTGTAGTCATTGTTTTTGATGTTTCTTTCCATTTAGTTACACATCAAATGTTTTGGCTGCCCTGGTGTTAGAACCTGGATTCTTACTTATTTCTGAGTTACTAACATCAAACTGACTTTCATGCCTCTTCAAGTACATCTCAGAATACCTGTGAAGTTCTGCATGTGCCCTGACCCTTTCCCATCACCCACCAGTTCCTCACAAGTCAGCCTGAGATTTTTTCTCTATACTAGACTCTGTCTGTTAGGACATCTTCCTCTTCATCCATTACCCTCTTGGTAAAACTCCTAGCTCTGATTACATGCTTCAGCCACCC